AAATAGTCATTCAAAACCCCTCCAGCTAGCGATCTGTTTTCAGGATCATCTAATAAATAGTCACTCAGACTCCAGTGTCTATTGGGGGAGGAAGCTACCATTTCATCTATATGCAAAGTTATGAGAGCATGGTCAGACCAACTGATATCTAGAATATCAGATTTTGAGATGTGTGGTATGAGAGCGCCATGTATCAGAAACCTGTCCAGCCTGGAATACATGTTCTTGGATACTGAGTAAAAAGTAAAGTCCTTTTCATTCTCATGCAGTAATCTCCATGGATCATACAGTCCGCATTCAACCATATATTTTGAACATTTCACAGCTAGTCTGTCACTATCTCTCCTGTGGTCTTTGTCTGAATTATCCCTTGCATTATCTAAGTCTCCATCCATAACAAAGTTCATATCTCCACACATCACCAAAGTCCCTTTCATATATTCATTCACCAAATCCATTATTTTCCTAAAGAAAGTTAGCTGACCCGTGTTCGGAAAATACACATTGACAATTGTATACATAACGTTGTTAACCTTACCAATACACAGTATGTACCTCCCCTCATCATCCATCATTATCTTTTCTGTAGAGTTGGCCACATTCTTGCTAAAAAAAATGGAAGTACCTCTAGACTTAGTTTTGTAAGTGCAGTGAAATTGGGATGGGAATAACTGTGTTATAAATTTGTACTCTCTTCCTTCTTTTAGATGAGTCTCTTGAATACAGACAATATCCGATTTGTTGGATTTGACTTCTTTGAACAATAGTCGCCTTTTGTGAGTGGTGTTCAGGCCCCTCACATTAAATGACATGAGTTTAATGACCATGACTCAAATTAGAGTGCATGGACATTAAAAAGAGAGTGTATGAAAATGTGGGAACCTGAAGGCCCGCGTCCCAAGAGAAGAGTTATGAAATCCAACAATCGTAACAACAAATACATTTGTTTAGACAAGAGTCAGTTTGCTAAAGCATTTAAAGCAGAACCTGGTAACTTCTTAAATTGCTTACAGTGCATAAGGCAATGGATGGAATAAAAAGGAAAAAAAAATTAAAAATGAGGAGTGATAAACTTGGATAAATTCCCCTATACGGGGAGAGAAAAACACCTTATTTAGAAAAAGGGCCATGAGAGAGAAGAAAAAATATTTCTCCATCTCAGGGTATTAGGCCCCAAGTGGGGGAAGGAAAGACTACCTAGGACAAGGGAACCAATGTATGCTTTGGTAAAAACTAAAATAGCACAATGAAATAAAGAAAAATTTTGTCAAACAGCAAATAACAAAAGGAAATCCTTCCAGTCCTGGGATCTCTGCTAGACTAGATAATAGTTAGGGAAGGTCAAACAAACAGAAAGATTATCTTTTGAAATTACAGGGTAAAGTCTGCAAAAAGGAAACCTATATCAGGAACCTCAAAAAAAATTCCTGCAAACTGCCCAGGTAATGAAAATAATTTTTTTTTTTTTTTAAAAAGAGAGACCCCTATTGTCTTAACATATCCCAGAATTAGGATAAAGTCCATAACATTTTGCAGAAACAACATTATCATAGAGTCATGCAACCAAATTGACACAGGGTAAAAATGCAAAAATGAGAAATTAGAAATAGGAAGGCAAATTCTTGAACATCAGAAAAATTACATCCAATACGTTATGTAAATGAAATCTCGCAGCTTGCAAATCAAGTCCTGCAATAATCGCGCTGGAGTTATGAGTCATCACCAGGAACATGAGTGGTTTCAAGTGTCATTTGCCTTGCTTTTCTTGTGAGCATGGTGAGGGGTAGTGATGTCGCGAACCCGAAATTTTCGGTTCGCGAACGGCGAACGCGAACTTCCGCAAATGTTCGCGAACCGGCGAACCGCCCGAAACGCCATTGACTTCAATGGGGAGGCGAATTTTAAAACACACAGGGACTCTTTCTGGCCACAATAGGGATGGAAAAGTTGTTTCAAGGGGACTAACACCTGGACTGTGGCATGCCGGAGGGGGATCCATGGCAAAACTCCCATGGAAAATTACACAGTTGATACAGAGTCTGGTTTTAATCCATAAAGGGCAGAAATCACCTAACATTCCTAAATCACAATCAATATGGATTGACACCTGACATATGACATATTGACACCTTGACATATGGATTGACACCTGTCCTCAGAGCCCCTGATGCACACGGACACAGAGCAGAATAGAGACTGGTCCCCTACATAGGGTCACTTGGCAGATATGGATTGACACCTGTCCTAAGGATCCCTGATACACACTGACACAGAGCAGAATAGGGACTGTTCCCCCTACATCGGGTCACTTGGCAGATATGGATTGACACCTTGTTACAAACTGCTATTTGTAACGGGCCCTTTAAATGGCAAATTGCCCTGTTTCCCTGGGTTGTGGAGAAGCCTCTTTGCCAGCCTCCTCCCGCATGACTATGGCCCCTGGGAGATTGTGAAAATGTATGCACTTTTATTTGGTGTGTATGGCCCTTTAAGACTGTCGGTGGGCATATTGGGGCTTATGGACTCTTTATGTGACTGGTGCTGGCCCTTTAAGCACCTTTTTTTGGGACATCAGGAAGATTGGGACACTGCCCCTTTAAGACCGTGTCCCCAGACTTGTTGGGGACACTGCCCCTTTAAGACGGTGTCCCCTGTGTCCCCAGACCTGGTGCAAACCCCATGTGCCTGCCTTGCTATTTCCCACTTGGTTCAGTAAATGGGAAATTATTTCAGCTGCAGAGACTAAGTCCCATTCGGTGATGGGACTTAGTCTTTTTTTCAGCCGTTTTTTTCAGCCTTATTTC